GGTGTTTTCGAATTCCCCCCTGCATATAATTACAATGTCATCGGCGTACCCCTGTCAAGTTAACCCAGTATCTGTCAGCTCTTGGAGCAGTCCGTCGACGACTATGTTCCACAGCAGTGGAGATAGCACTCCACCCTATGGACAGCCCCCTGTTGTTCCGGCAACAACCGTTTTATTCCTACAAGTTTGTATTTCTACCCTTCTGGTGCGGAGCATGCAATGAATCCAGGCTACCCCCCTGCTGATCAAAGCACTATTTATTGCAGCATGTGAGGTGTTGTCAAACGCTCCCTCGTTGTCCAGAAAGGCGCATATAGCCGTCTCCTTATTATCTAAGCTATCTTGAAGTCCACTTGTCAGCGCATATAGGGCGGTCTCAGTAGAACGACCCGCCATATATGGATGCTGGCGCGAATTCAGCGGATAGTTCACTAAGACCGTAGTCCTTACATAGTTATCTACTACCTTTTCTAAAGCTTTTAGTACAAATGAGGTGAGGCAGATGGGCTTGAAGGATTTTGGATGAAGTGGGTCCTTCTTTCCAACCTTCGGGATGAAAACTACCTTCGCTCTTCTCCACGCATCTGGTATATAACCCAATGCTATGCTGCTTCTAACTATTGTTGATAGCGGTCCAATAACGCATTATAAGCCCTGATGTAGCATCCCAGGGAATATTCCATCCGCTCCCGGTGACTTTAGCGGTTTAAAGGTGTTCACCCTCCTTAGTCGGGGCTCAGAACCGACCTGTCTCGGAATATGATGTAGATCCTGGGAAGTGAGTATCTATGAGTAGTTGGATCTTCTCTTCCTCGCTCCCAGTGAAACTCCCATCACTCTACCTTAGACTTGCGGACGAAATACAATTTTTTTTTTGCCATTACCTTATAGAGTCTTGTAGCCTTCGCGGTATCTTCTATGCTTTCACAGAAGTTCCTAAAGCTTAAACGCTTAGACGCGGCCCTCGCATGGTGCAGGTTTACATGTGCAACCTTAGTGCTGGTCATCGTCGCAACTAATGGCGTTCTTCTTCTTCATCCGTTGTCAGAGTTTCGTCAAGCTCTGACAAGGTGGCCCTCTCCGAGTCATCATATGCACAGATATTTAGTAGGCCGAGGTCGAAATCGTCTATACCCTCCGTCTAATGAGGTAGAGGACTAACTTTCTCTACTACCGCGCTTCTGGCTGCTTCCACAGCTACCATCTCAGCCACCTCCTCCGGTATTTCAGGAGCACCCGGTGGAGTATTTGGCTTGGTTACCTTCGCCTTCGGTTCCCTGCCCTTGTGCAGATGCACTGGGACGCTACCAAACCTGTATCGTTGGATACAGTTTTTCTTATTGATAGCCTCCAACGATCGGTCGTCCAACCCGATCGTCAGCAGTTTACCCGTCTTCTCGTCATTGCTTCTGTATACCTTCTGTTACGGGGACAGCCAATTAACTCGTCGCAGCTCGTTAAATTATTG